CCAACTAAACCAGAAAAGTTCCCTAAACTGTAATTTTTTCCTTTTCTTTAAACCTACTGTAAACTAAAACACCCAAAAAGCCACCAAAATCTCACACTTATAACCCACCAAACCAAACCTAAAACACAACACTTTCAATGCCAAAAAAATTATTAACCAACTAAGAAAACCAAGCTACAGCCCATTAAAAAACCCTTTTACTTTATGGTATCTTTTAAAGCAACAAGAAGTTTTATTGTTTAATATTGTTCATTTTTTGTGCTAGTAAATGCTTTACCTATTAAATAAACAATTTTTTCCATTTTTCTCCATTTTTTCCCAAGCCAATTAAAAAAAAAAAAACCAACTGCTTAAACTTACTTTCTTAAAAAAAGCCCTTTAAAAGTTTTTCTCCCAAAATTATCCTAAACCAAAAACATATGCCTGTGTGCAAAGGGGAAGACTTAGAGAGACACAAATTATCATGTGCAAGCATTCTGATCATCTCTGAAAAGTCTTAGACCAGGGACTGAGGAATGGGAATTGATTCATTAGGAGAATACTCTCTAACTTCAATATATTGTATCATATTCAGCATATATTTCTGTGAGTTTCCATAGCACCTTTAAATTCCAGATGCATAAATTGTGTGCATGCAATCCAGCTTTCACAGCTTTCCAGTGCTTTAAAATTTCTTCAGTGCTTAAAAATATATCTTTACCATGTCAATGAGTCTGAAATGAAATATCCTACAGCAATGACAAAATCATTCCCCCTGTAACAATGTCCAAGACATCTTTTCTCTTCTAGGTGAACGAGAACAGGAAAGTGTCACAGAATCGGGAGGCCTGGGAAATGCCTGGTTTAAAAGTCAGCTGGAGGAAGACTGTGAACCAGATGAAAAAGCAACGCCAGACTATGCAATAAGTTTATGATGCAAGTTTATGAAAAGATAAAAATCACAATTTCCAAGTTTTATAGCTGTACTGGAATATTTTTGGATTCTGGTTTTTAAATTTTTGTTGATGGTTTGTTTTAGGCTATTGTAGTTTTTTTCTGTCACTCTCTGTGGTAGTTTTACATGGGAGGCATCTACAAATGCAATACAAAAGCTTCTAAATAACAAACAATCTACCAATCTCAAAATTAAAAAATTCTCCAATCAACAAACCAAAACCACTACACTCTCCAAAATGGGAATTCCTAATTTACACAAAGCCTAATTTACCCTGCTGAGATCAGAAACAGCACTTGGTGCCCATGATTGTTCCTGCACCTCTTCATCTCCACACAGGTGGACTCTCATCTGCAACTCCCTATCTCAGAAGGATGCCCCAGGCAGGCTAAAAGGTCAGAAATTTTAATCTGTTCTTCACCAGGGTGCATTATTATAAATCCACACATATAGAACTATTATAAACACACACATACAGAGTTATCATAAACTCACACAGTATATGGAGAGTAAACATGAAACTCATTTGGGAAGAGATATCCAGACACCAAACTTTAAGGTCCTCTAGGAACAAGATTTACCTGCCAGGCGAGTGCATTGCCAAAAGAATCCAAACCAGCTTCCCATTCTGAGCTGCCTTCTGGAAGAGGGTCTCTTCCACCCTTTTTTCCTCTGTTGACTACACAGGATGTCAGGAAGACTACCTTAACATCTACTACACCTGTACCACTGACACCCTACTTGTGTCACAGCACATATCACAGTTGAGACAGCCACAATCCCAGTGTCACCACACAATTCCAGAAAGCTCCAACCCACACAGAGTCACACCACAGCACTTGAGGAGGCTGCAGGCTCTGCTCCCCTTGTCCTTCAGCCCAGCCTTTTATCCCCTCCTGCTGATGCACTGCCCCTGTGTGCCTCTGTGCCCTGTGTGGTTGCTCAGCACACCGGGGCACTCCATGGCTCCTCACCTTCAGTTTTATTCACCTGTCCTGCACAGCTGCACCCACTGGGGATGAGGCTCTGTGTGCCTACAAATGGAATTGTACAAATACAACCCCACACATTCCCCGCAAGAACTCCTTCAATTACTGTTGTCAGGTGAAGGTACAAGGTAGAAAATAATTCTCTATTCTCTCCCTTCCCCTTCTTTCAGGCTTCCATTAAGCACCTGCTGTTGGGCACAGCTGATGCCTTGTGAAGGCTGACCTAGAACAAAGGCTAGACTGAGTTAAAGAAGAAAGTATTCCACAGATTTGAGTAATCAGTTTTGAACTCGACTCTTTTGATATCCATCGCATTTTAAACTCCAGACTTCGTCATCAAACTATGCTATTCAGGGAATAAATGTCATGTGTTTTGAACTTGCCATTTAGGTCTCATAAAGTAAGAAACAGTGAATAATTGTTGCCTAGTCCCTTTTTCCATGACTCGTTATTTCATACACTTTGAACATAACTCTTCACTTCCAGGGTGAAGTGCTCCTAAATTACATTACTTGTGTTCAGGCTGTTCACAGCTTTAATTGCTCCTCTCATCCATTTTTATACCCTTTGTAATTCAACCACATTTATTTGAAATGTATAGGACAACACCAAGATTCAGGCAAGGAACTTGCACAATGGTTTGTTCCCTATTCGTTTTTGTGCTATTTTGACCACAGAGACGATGTTTTTATGGCATTTTTACATTAACTCCAAGGTCTCTTTCCTGAGTAATAATACCTATTTGAGAACCCATTGCCACATAAGTAGTTTGGGCTGTTTTCCTTCTTGTGCATTATTATGTATTCATTGACATTGAGTTTCATTTATTTTATTTCCCAGTTTTTCAGCAACTAACTAGCATGCTTCTTCATACTTAGCTTTTGTTTCAGCTAACTGAGTAATTAAATTTCCAGAATTTCTGTCAGTTTACCTTGGAACCCCTTTTTGAAATAATTTGTGGACATATTAAAGCCTATGAACTGCCCTGGAGCCCCTGTGCCAGGCTGACAGGGGTGCCAAGCACAGGCACAATGCTCCACTCTGCCCTAACCCAGATCCTGAGTGGCAAAATGATCACAAGCCCCACCTGGGGGCAAGGCACAGGGCTCTCTAAGGCCAAACATGAGGTGAAGCCCTCACCTTGACCCCTATCTTCACCTTGGAGATTCTAGCTGAACACTGCTGGAAGCCAGAAGGGGGTAGTGATAGGTGTGCTTTTCTATCTTTCTTCTTCTAATTCCATCTTCTTGGAATTTCCTGGGCTTAAAGTTTGCTAAGTTGAATGGACCAAATTAATGGTCTGAGCAGCATTTTATGTTGTTATAATAAGCAAGTAAATTAATAATTGTACAAACTATAGCCTTCAGCCTTTCAATGTTTTTGTAAGAACTTCCCAGTGGGACAAGATTTTTAACATCCTTTTCACACTTGCAACACTGACACAACTTAACCCTGCATGGTACAACAGCAAAATCAACAAAATGTGTTCTTCAGATAAATGCTATTACTTCATTAGTTTGTAAAGACAAGCCAGCAGGTAGCAAAACAGATCGGCAAGAAAATGAAATGGGCTATATCATACCTCCACTGCTTCCCAAACACACTTTGCTTTCTACCTAACTGGCAATCTGACAGAAAAACTGCTTAGGCAATGAAAAGTTATCAGAAGTTTTGTGCCAGTAATGCGTATGGAATGTGCTGGGAAGCACTTTTTGCTTATGAAGTCTAGATATGCTCACAGTATATAAGAAAACAAATGCATGTACAATGAAAGTGAAGACTATTACACAATAGCAATATGAAATACAAAAATCTCACTTCAATCTGCTGTATCTCTGTAAACAATTTATGCTAGTTATAAGTGGTAAATACATACCTAGCTAACAAATCTATGATCAACTTCTGATTCAATCACCCCTTATGTCAGGTTTTAATTTTCTCAATATTTTTTCTTTTTGTCCCTGCAAGTGTTGTAATTCAACCAAGTGATTCCACTCAAGTGCATGCCAAAGACATTCAGAAAACATGAGATTCATCATTTTTATGTTTTGACTATCAAAATGGTGCATGCACAAGCTTATCTAAAAACTTTTCAAGATTGCTATGGACATCTATGTCTAAGTCTTACATGTCACAAGAGCAGTGGAAGTAACAACTATATTTAGCAAAACCCAACATGCCTCTTGTACACATGATATCAACAAAAGAAGTTTTTTTGTTGTGTACATTTTACATTAAACACTGAGAATCTGAAAAAAAATCCCGTAAGTCAAAAATAGTCTTTACAACTTCCGCTGTATCAAAATCATAAACTAAAATTATTTCCAAAATCTTGCTGTTCATCATGATAGGAAAATAGTAAAGTAACCCTCCCTCTTCATTCTACTGAAATCACATCACCTTGCTATGTGGACATGTCCCAAATCCTAGTTTTTAGGCTTCACCAAAACCTTTTCTCAGTTCTCATGACACTACAAGATCCCAGGCTCACCACAACTATATCACCTATAACTCTTTTAGAAAGCAACTAGGAAGATTCAATTTCTCTCTCCTAGTATTTTTAACTAGCAATGCCTATTTCTTAAGAAATTATTTCTTCCTCTTTGAACTTCCCCAATGAAGACTGCTTCAGCAACAGAGTCTGCTCCTCCCACAAGTAATCCTGAAAGCTTCTGCAGGCAGCTCCCATTTCCTTCTTCAGAGGCTTCTGAAAAATGCTTCTCCAATGTGTCAAGAATGAGTTCTACAGCATACTTCATACTACTGCACTGATCAGGTGGGAAGCTTCTTGCTTCAGACAGTTCTGACATCACAAATCACTTACTGGACTTCTTCCTCTGGCTCTCACCAGATTGGAGAAATTAACTTCATTTGCACAGGTCAAACACACCAGAATGACATTCTGATGTCCAGGTTACACTACAACTATACATAAATTGCTCTGTCTCTGAATATTAATTTGCTAGAAGACATTATAAACAACATGCACGTATAACAATATTTGTCAAAATCAATTTAGACATTTTTCCTAAGAGAAGAAAGGAACATTTTTTGCTGGAAATACACTTCACATTATATTGCTCTTAATAGTATTAGACTTTATTTGAAGTAATTAATAGAAACATATTTAAAGATGAATTAAATTGAAAAAACAGAGCAGGAACATTTACAACCAAGTAACAGACTAAAAACCAGAAAGACAGAAAAAATGAAAACAACCCTTTTGGAAATATTTTTCTGTCTCTTGGAACTCTGTATGTCATCCATAGATGCTAACAATCTAAGAACATCTAAGGCATTGTAGTGCTAAACATGAACATGTTCTAGTATTAGCATCTGCCTAACTTGCTTCCAAATGAAAATCTATTTTAACAAAAGGAAGCTAGTCCAATGAAAATAATTTAGAGGGTCAAAATAATTTTTGTTAAGATTTCCATCCCGAAACTCTCAAAACTATCTACAAGAGGAAATCACAATTCACTCTATTCACATTTGCTATCCATCAATCCTGCTTGAAATAGGGGTGAACACAGAACTAAATCATATTTTTTTTCTTGGAAACACAAAGTAAAAGATTTTTTGATGTCCTTGATTTAACATCCAGTGCGACTCTTCCTTGAGAAAGGCTTCTAACGAAGTTCCTTGGCATATTCTGTTCTTGCTTCCTGGTCTTCATTTTAATTCCTAGTGAAGAAAGAAATGATATTAGAAATAGAGACACTTCTTCAATAAACATAAGTAGACTGTAGCCGACATGGACCGCCTCTTTAGAATAGGTCTAAGAATCTTTACACATTTCCTTCCTTTACAGAAAGCCTAATTTTAATATGCAAAAATATAATCACTCAACTCAGTAATGCAGTCTTTTAATTGTATACAAAGTCCTATGATTAGACCCCAAATGACAGGAGATGCTATTAAAAAAGCACAATGGTTTATAAAAATATGTAGAAATATGAAACAATGTTATTAATCCTTATTATAGAATAGCATTGAAAAATGAACACTGTCACTATAGAAAGTTTTGTCTTTTTAATCTGAAAACAACTCTTCCTCTTAGGTATTTGGTTAAGGTTTATTCTACTCTGGTAATGTACTCTCCTGAAAATAAAGTCTATTTCATATGCAGTTCAACACTGAATAATCAAAATTTTATTCTCATTTCAGAACGTGCTTCTGCATTACATAGATCCTTAATTCCAGAATAGTGATTGAAGAGTGGTAACTTCATAACCTGGTCTGTGGTAGCAGACATTGATACTGATATAACCCTGTGTGCAATTTGCCAAATCAGTAACTTATCAGAGCTTAGACTCAGATATTCAGTTTCCAGAAAGCTTCTTGTAATACAACCTCAACATCTCCAGTGAATACAGATTAAGGCATTTTCCCTCACAGCAATTTTTACTTAAAAACATGTATGTGCTGTAAAGCCAGTGTATTGCCCATATAACTGGAAAAAGCTACACAATGGAAATGTTTTCTCACACTGCTTTTCTGTTTCATAAGAAAAGCAGACTAAAATTTAAAAACTAATATTGGATCTCCTCTAAATACCCCAAGAATATCGTTAAGTGTACCTTTGAAGACAGAGGAAAAGGAGGTAGAAATTAAGGAAAATTGTACATGTTTAACATATTAAAATCTGCTGCAAGTGCCAAGCAACTTAGTGCCATGCACTAGAAAAGGCAGAGGCTTTTATAAAATTGTGAAGACATTTGTGAACATTGGCTGGAAAAACTATTTGTAACTGATTTTATTACAGAAAAGATTTATGCACCTCAAAAAGAAGCAAAATAATTAAGGCAAACTTTCACATAACAGAACTTGCTAATATTATCATCAGCAGTATGTTAGAAGCAAAATAATTTTTCCTGTCATTGTTTTTGCCCTAAATAGCACCAAATTTTAAGACCAAAAAAATCTCTGAAAGAAGCTTTTACCTGTTAAAACAAATCAATTTGGTGTTGTAAAATAAAGCAAAGAATTAAAAACAGGCATGGAAATTCTTAGATATTTTTATTTCTTGATAAACACTTAGGAAAAGACAAAATTGATAATAAAGTTTACCAAATTTCTCAACAAGTACATAAACTATTTTAGGTGGAAGACCTTGGCTCTTGGGAAAAAGGGTTTCCCAACAACCTTGTAATATTGAACTGAATTTTGATTAGATACTACCTATATAACTGACATTGTTTTTTTTTTTTAATAAAGGGATATACTAGTCCAATCAATGGCCTAGTATACTAGCACAGCAATAGGTACTATTGAATTGACAAAGCAAATTGAGAGGCAATCCTAATTTGCACTTGCTGTGCAATTGCTGTTACAAAGGTGATGCCTTCTGTCCCTCTGTGGTCGCCAGAAACTGATGCCTTGGGAAGGCTGGCCTAGAGCAGAGGCTGGATAGAGCTAAATAATAAAGCAGGGATTGATTAAAAGGATCTCCTCCATGGATCCACCTTGGGCAGCACCAGAGCCCAGCCAGGGCTGCACCCAAGATGAACCAAAATGGTCCCAAAATGCACGAGCGCTCCCGGGGGCTCTCACTGGGATCAGTTCTGCTCCATTGGCACCTTGGAGTTCATTGTCCCATTCCAGCTCCAGCCCAGGCAGTCCCACCCTGCTTGTTTTTCTCTCTCCAGCCCACGGTATTTGTGCTCTTGGGCTGAGATTTGGATCATTTGTCCTTGGTGCCCAGCTGGAGAAGGAATTGTTTTGTGTCCCTGCTCTGTGCAGAGAGCTCAGCATCCCCCCATGTGAAGCTCAGAAGTGCACACTAAAGCAGCACAAAATGCGAAAGATACTAAAACTAAACCCTGAGGCAGCAAAGGCAGCATCACCCACCCAAGCTCTGGTACTCACCAGCCACCTGGGGAACTCGCAGGACTGCGTGGCTTAACGGCACGTCCTGCCGAGAGCGCTTGGCAGAAACCGGGTCTTGCAGGCTGCCCAGCATCGTGTTCGTGTTCGAGGTGGAGCTGCAAAAGGTGCCAGAAAGGAGTTTGCTTTCAGTACAGTCATCGCTAACAGTGATTCTAGCCTTGTGTAGAAATACTTGAAATATTATCCAGTGTTCATAGAATCATAACAGAATGCAAAGAATAAACAAATTTATTATGTATATCTATGGATACTATTCCCCTTTTTCCTTTTTAAAAATTCACAAGAATGCTTCAACTGTGAAAATAAGAAGTAATGTTGGCACTTGTATTCAAAGGCAGGACGTGTCACAGTTTTGTTTGAATCCACAGAAGACAGTTTGATGGCCATCACATACAAATTACAGAAAGAAATAATCTTAAGGCATGTTACAAAATCCTTGAAATAACCAAGCTGTGTTTATTGAACAAATCACATTTTTTTATTGCTGCAATAACTTTTCTACAGCCTCCAACACAGTTGGAGGGGGTGGCTTCATAGCAGACAATACTTTTTAACTAAGCTGCAAGAAAACTGTTACAGCTTCAAATTCATTAAAACAAAACCTCTATATTTTATCCACAGCACTTTATGTGACGGACTTAAGGTCTGCAGTGAAAATTATGAACCTATCTGATCTCACCCTTCTGCAATTGCCTCACAAACTTCCCAAGTTCCACTCTGCAGACAGCCTCGTAAACAAGCTAATCATATTTATGCCCCAAGTTCCTAAGCTTTTCCTATTCCTGTAATAAATATTGTATTATTTCCACTTTATAGTCCCCCTAACTCACACTTTCTTAATAATAATTTTCTGCCTAAATGAAAATATATAGCAAGCAGCAAAGACTAAGACCTTCCTTGTGCCAATCCTAACAATCTACTCATGCACGCCTCTTTTAAGAGAACTTATGCCAATAAGAATATACCACTATTTGGTAAAATAGTCTCTTATGACTGACTTGCCTCTACTCCCTTATCCTGAAAACACAACTGTTTCAAATTATCCTTCTAATGTGGGCCATATGACTGAAATTTATGTTTTTATTCTAGCATTAGTAGGAGATGAACGACTGGAGTGAGTCACTTGAATCAGGGAAAGCATGGGAGATAAAAGAGGGAAAAAGGAAAGAAGAGACTGGAATGAAGGCACTCTGAAAAATAAGAACATATTCCTTTTCTCCTTTGTAAATGTGTTTTCATTACTCCTCTTCATCACCAACCACTAGCAAAACCATAAAGAATTTCAGTCTACAGACAAGTTACTAAGGCAGAATGATCTCCATAAAAGGAACATAAATTGTGGGATTTTTCTGTAGAAAAATTCTGGGAAATATATTCGAGACACAAAAGAAACAAGGTGAGCAGAAACATCTAATCTTTTGGGAAGTAATAAACATATGTGTGTATATATATATATATATATATATATATATGTATATTTTAATTATTATTCAGTTATTACAAAAAACTATTTCAAATGCCTGTCTGAGAACTTTTACTTTAAGACTAGATAAAACAGGCTTCAAAAGGTCCCATACCTCTCCTTAGAGAGAATGTAGGAAAAACTAGCTTGGCTGCAGAGAACAGGTGATTTATTTTGCTAAATTCATAATCAGCTATTTGAAAATATGAGCAGTGTCTCTTTTCTCATCCTAGAACAAAAGAATTTATTCCTCATCCTGGCAAGACAGTTTAGAACAGTAATTGGTAACAATCAGAACAGTTACATGAAACTAGACCAGATGAATCTGATCTTCTAGGATAATTCTCTATGTTAAAGATGCTAATAAACAAAAAGGCACTTAAGTGTCTTCCATGTCCTGTGATCTCTCTTTAGCCTTGTCCGAACAGTCTTGAGATATTCTTTGTAAGACCAGAGTGGTGGTAGCTCCACTTACTGTCTAGCAACAGGTCATTTGTAACATGATTTTAAAATGGTTGAATCAATTTTTGCTTTTGGAAATAAGGAAAAAGGAAGACCAGCTGTTTCATAGCTAATCAGGTTGAATTACATGAAAAAAAAACCCCAAAGCCAACCAAACAAAGAAATACATACACAGAAAAATTACAATTTAACTTAAATGTCTGTTCAGTTTCAGCTTTTCTGCTGCTCCTGCTCATAAACCTCTTTTATGGTCATAAACCAGAAGTGATGATACAAAAGTTATTCCTAGAGCAGACTGCAAAAATTAAATCACAATATATAACTGAAAATGAATTATCAGAAAATCAAAGTTGATCACCTAAATATTGTTGTGTCTATTTTTTTCCCTGCTTTCTATTTTGGTAGTTTCTAATATGCTCTGGCAAAGGCAGAACATTTTCAAAAAACTTAGATTTTTAATGGATGTTGAAATTTCTCTTTTCAGAATTATGTGTCATCTTTCATTTTGAATAGACAGCAGCTACACAAGACATGATATTAGTTTATAATTATTAAGACAGAAGTTCTTAAACCAAGACTAAAGAAAAAAAATCTACTGAAGTTACCCAGAAAAGCAACAAAAATATTCAATTGAATTCAAGGATATTTGAATCAGAATAGGTCATATGCAGGTCGAAATGACTTCTATAAGATGTTTTCAGATTTGAAATATTAGAATGAAACTGAACTAAGAAGATAAGAAATGAAAATTCATTTTTTATAGAAGGGTTAGTTTAATCTTACCTTAATATCTTTCTTTTTCTCTGAGCAGCCGAAGTCATTGCCATATATGAAGGCTTCTCAAATACTGGAGCAGAATTTTTGTTTCTTAAGGAAGAAAGATCAAGTTTGAAATAAAAGAATTATATTTTTGCAAAACATATTCTTGGTAAAAGTCAAGTAAATTTGTACTTAAATGTAAACAAGTATAAGGCAAGTTGAAAACCAAAACTGGAAATTAACTTGATTACCGTTATTTGAGGTAACTTTGCAGACTTCTGACATGCACAGCAGCTTTAGGCATGGCATTTCACAATGTGGAGAGGTTAAGTACCCATTTTAAAGACAGAAAACATAAGACTTAGAGAAAGTAACTTGCCTGAGGCATCACAATCTATTTTAAAAATGCTGTATTTTCTTTTTGGTACATATCTTCTAAAATAGGATAAGCTTTCAACTTCATTTGTTGTCACTAACATACTACTGTTTTCAAATAATGGCAAAATTGAATTTGATGTTGATCAGAATTGAGAGTTTGATTTTTAAAATGTTTGGTTTATTTATAAAATGGATACAAATGGAAAAACCCAGCTGTAAAGACAGGCAGGATTAAATGACTTGGTAATGCTTCTCACCCATATAAAAGGCAAATACCTTTGCACAATGCTGTTGCTGCATGGCTGTGACTCCTTCCCAGTTGCATAAGCAGACATTTCAGATGTTTCATCTGTACCTTCATAGAGAATGATAGTGGAGTTCATGACAGCCTCGTGGCTCTCGGGGATCACATCACACGTGGTGTCCATAATGCTGCCCCTCCTGGCTGGCACATATGTACTGCAAGCACTGACTGCCCCCAGGCCTGCCAGGTGCAAAGCCTCCTCCACCACAGCCTGAGCAGAGCAGCTCTGCACAGCCTTTCTGCACGAGTCTGGAGTATAGACTAGAGGGTAGACCTCCTTGGCAAGAGAATCCTCCAGGTGCTGCAAGCTGCTGTGGCTGGAGGGAGGTGGACTTGGAGCTACCACTGGAGAGTCCATCAGCTTCCTCCTGGTTCTCTTCTGTGGTTGTTCTGTGTATACTAACACCTGTGTATTGTCATTCCGTTCTTGTGATGGTGTACCAAAAGAGGTGCCTGTCAAACATAAGTAATGATGGTTACCACATCTAACTGCACATACTACCTAAATCTTGCTTCTTCCCTAGCGAGACATGAGCAGAAATTCTTACAAATACTATTTATTTCATATACCTATCAACTTGATAATTAAGTGAGATTATTTCCACTGCACCATTGTCCAAGATGGCATTTGCTGAGACACTCAAAGTATTATAAACATGCAAGGTTGGCACAGTTAATCCCAGAGGTTAGAGAAATCATCACAACTAAGATCTGACACATGACAAGAGGGGATGGAAGAGTAAGAGTATTGAGAATTATTGCACTACCATGACAAAATTCAGACTTGAAGATGGTACAATCACAGTAACCTAGAGCTGACTCCTGATCAGAGCCAGGTTTTTTCCCCAGCAAGTACCATGCAGAATAATGAAAGACTGTTGAAAAAGGAATGACATAGAACCATCTAGAAGGACAAAATTTTCTGACAGTGCAAATGAGAAAATAGTGTTTTGCAAAGGGGCAAACAAAGAAGTTACTGGTATTAGTTACTAGGATTCTGTCACCCTACTCTACCAACTGTGGGGAACAAAGCTCCTGACTAACAACTTCCCCCACCCTCAAAAAGAAAGCAAGCCATACAGTGTAACTGGCCATTCTCATTCATCCTGATTGAAACAATTTTTCTTGAAGAGTCATAATGGTTTTATTTTCAAGTAAATAGGCTTTTTCTGTCTTACTTTGGCCATTGCCTTTATTAATTTCTCTTACTCAAGCTTTCAGTGAAGGAGGATCATTTTAAGACAGCTCACTGTTCAAATGGTGACTTATACAGTTATAATACCAAAAACCTATGAAATTTCTTTTTTAAACAAATCAAGAGCAGGAGAGGGCTGTCAAAACCCCAAGTGCTTCTATATTTAACTTCCAGCGCAAATTTAAGAAATGAAGCCTAGTATCCTTAAAATGCCTATGGATTGGATCCCCTTCAGCTGGCAGCCAGACTCATACTTCTCCTTTCTGCATTGCCTACTTCATGCCTATGAGCAACTAAACTGCAAAAAGAACTCCTGCTTTTTAAATTGATGCAAGTTACTCAGGAATTAACTATGGTATTCCCAGAACAGTGTTGATAAATATTTATTTCTTCTAAATTTCATTCTATTTGTGCCTCAGACTAAGAAAGCTAGTTTGAACTCCTCAGTCTGAATGCTTCTATAGTTCTCTCTCACGTGTTAACACTTAGGGCATTTTAACTGTTCCAAAAACATTCTCTGAACACGACAGATTGATTAAAAACATGTATGTATTATATTACTTCACCTCCACAAGCTTGATTTGTTACAGAAAGCAAGGCTTAAATAGTTGTAAGCTTTTTCTCTGCTTACCATTTCACAGGACCCATTTAATTTTGACCTCATTGCCCAGTTGCAACCCAATTTGCCAAGATGCTTTAAAAAAGCTGGTTTCCCCAAGCACTCTCAGAAATCAGATCTCCTGGGAAAAGGTTCAAGTAAGATCCTCACTGACAAAAAGCCAAGGAGGGATCATCTCAGCACTGATTTTGCTACACACCTTGGTACTAGACATGCCATATGATTGGATACCCAGCTAGATGAGATAATGCCCAGTTGGAAGACAGAAAACAGGGACAGCCAAGGATTTAAAGACCACAATGAAACCTAGACCTGTTCCAGGAGGCTACAACAGGTAGTACCAAAGTGTGCACAGGTACCAAGTCAATTAGATAAAGGCCACAAGACTGTTCTAGCTTGCCACAACTTATTCAGTAATGAAACCATTGAAAAACCAAAGCAAACATTAATTCCTCACTCAGGGGCTCAGTGTCACAATGAACAATGTTTAAACTGCTCATGGGAAAAGCAGTGTGGACAATTACATGAACAATTACATGGAGCTTTGAAGAAACACATAGATAGAAAACTTGGGCCTGAGAGAACTACCTGACATGAAATAACTGAATTGTGAATTTGTCTATCTGTGCACCTGTGTACAGCTCACTTTATATATGTAAAGGAACTTTTCTATGTTAAAATGCAAAATAGATGATTATCTTATACAGCATCTCATTCACAGCCAGTTTTCACCAGGTGAAATGGAGCAGGTTGCTGAGATGCTAATTGCAATCTAAGCACCAAGCTAATTCAGGATATTCCCCATGAGCAGTGGAATGGAAACAGCAGTAAAACAGGGCCTGGGCATTCCCCAAATGTAATCTTTACCTCCCCCCAAAATAAAAAAAGGCCCACTGTGATAAAGACATATTTCTCCAAGACTTGGTTGGATTTAGTAGTAAACAAGAAACTTATTTATGAACAATTTAAAACATCTACTCTCTGTCACTATCAACAATGCTATGCTTCATTATGTAGTTGCTCTTTAAGTTTGTTTTAATAAGTACAATATATGCCTCAGTGTAACAGACTAACAAATCTTTAAAAAAATTCTAGTCATCACAACCAAAAATTGAATCCAAACCTTTTTCAAAAATACTTTTGACATCTTATATTCTTAAATACAAAAATAAGGTTTATATAATCTAGTGTTTGAAACAACTATCCATTAAATGACTCAGGACACATTTAAAATATTCATTTATTAGTTTTTACTCCTATTTATATGCATCTGAATGTCTGTTTCAGGAAAAGTGATGGTTAGAATTCTATTAGTCCATTGCTACATTAGGACAGGGAGGTTTCAGTTTCACAAAGTTTGCTTACTGTAAGACACTGAGGTTTTGCTAATGTCCTAAAGTTACTAGAAGAAAGTCTGATGGAGAAATATTTTGGTGGGAGTGCCAAGGTTTAGAAGCTTCTACAGGCCTAAATATTGGAAGCATTTTAAAATTAACTGTAAATACCAGCATTTAAATCATTAACTAAATACGTAAAGAACACAAAAGTACTGCCAACATAAATAATTTGATGAATTCCATCATAATGGAGCGCATTTTGTACTGTAATACAACTAAACTAATAACGATACTTGCAGGAATTCTATATAGGGCAAATATAAGCTGTTAGTAAAAACAAAAGCCTGTTTTTAAAATCTATTTATTTCTGGAATAAAACTCATTGCAAAATTAAGTTAAAATCAACAAGCTTTTCTTGTCATTAAAGTCTTGGAAACGATACAAGATACTTAAGGAGTGTCCCTTCCCACAGCTTTTTGTGAGAATATTAGGTTGCTCCTAACACAGTAAACAGGTAAACAAACCAGCAATATCGTATTTAACTTGGCTTCACTATATAACATAAATCAAATATGATGGAAAAAAACAACTCCAAAATCCTAATTCCACTTTAGCTTCTTGTTCTACTGCATATAGCTCCAAACAGTTATGACCTCAGGTAAATAAACATGCAGCAAGAAAAACATTATGACCCACAAAACAAAGAATTGCCACTGCTTCTACTTCCATCTTACTAAGGAAGCAAGATATTGAAGCTAGTTGCTAACTGTTTTGCAAGTGTAAAATAGTAGCCTTTTAAAGGGCTACTATTGAGAAGTTTATGTAAAAGGGACTCAGACAACAGAAGTTGCTACAGAAATTCTACTACTTCCATAAATTTCTAAGTACATGATACTGAGGATGATACTTGAAGAAGGAAGTAGGGCTATTTACATTTCCTTAAAGAACAAATCCAACTAGCTCCTCAATGGATGGCTAATGGTGATCACTAAGTATTGTCATTATTTTCCTACTGAGAGATAAACAACATGCTCTAACTATTAAGAGAAAAATTTTCAAACTTGTTTCTTAATAAGGCAGAATATTATGTTTATAGGCTATATTTGCTTCATGTTTTATAGCTACTTCAATCCTTTGCACCAATATCGTCATCATAATTCAGTAATATTGTTTATTTTATATACAAAAATGAATCACTTATATGCTTTACAGAACAGCCACAGTTAACTTGATGAAGTAGCTTAAAAGAAAAATTTGGAAGTTTTATTTCCTTAACTAGTACTTTCACACCTATAATGCATCTCTTTAAAAATAAACATTATCCCAAATATATTTTAGAGATCACATATTTGCTGATCCTTAATTTCAGGTTGGTGTTTAAAAAAGATAATTGTCAAAATTCTTTAAGATACTATTTAAGAGATTCACTCAGAAATTAAACATAAAAGCCATTGCCCACTGATCAACCACCCCCATCCAGTGATACGAGGTGGTTTTGTTCCTAAGTTTGCTGTATCATTTGTCCCAAAAGACTATTCAGAAGTACTGATTTATGTGACAAGAAACACAGCAATATCAGATATTTACAGTCCTGTGCACTAATAGCAGAAGCAGAATGCACTATGTGTGAAACATGAGTCACAGGAAAAGTGAGCAGGGCACATGGCAAAACAACTCTGATGAATTGAGTTAGTTCTAATTGACATTAGGGACAAAATAATTGCCAAGACTTGTCTTCTTCTAGAACTCATGCTAATACATGCATAAGGGGATTATTTCTGGAAACTGTGCTAAATTAAGTCTAGCAGGTTGTTCTGCTAAAGTGAAATTAAATATTAATGTATCCATTTCAATAAACATTTCTGGGCTACCACTGATTGATCAAATTACAATTCTAATCATACGTTTTCATTCCTTTAACAACTGACTCATGGAATTCCAAACTGCAAATGAGGTCTAGTCAATGCATTTCAATTCCTTAATATTCCTGTGACCCAAAGGCATCATCACTGTGATAGCAAGTTTCACAACAGGTTCACAAACAACAGCTGTGAGCTGAAAAAGGCTCAAATCCAGGCTGCATTCTTGCAAGTCCCAGTGATCAGGTGTACTGCTTCACACAGCATGAGAAAAAAATACTCAGAAGTCACCTGAGACAGTATGGAAGAACTGCTCAGTAAGACAAATCTTTCCTATTCAAGGCACATGCTTTTCCTACTTTTTATTAAAGTCTTTTGCCGTGTGCAACTATAGCTCAATTTTCCCTGCCATACAAAATAAAAAATTGACTTTTCATATCAGAAGGTTTGTGACAAGGGGAGGCAATGGATGCCTTTTTTTTTTTTCCCCTATAAATCAATTCCATCCTCTCAGTGGTAATGTACAGTGAGGCTTCTGGAAATGGGATGCTTGAAACAGTGCCAAGAACTTCCCCATTCAAAGAAATACATGCAAGTACCAGTCAGAGCTCTCCACGCATCAGGCTGAACTTGGAATACACTATGGCTCCCCATTAACGAACACTTAAGAATGGGTGCCCAAATACACTCTTCAATTAACTCATGCTTTCTTGGAGACAAATAGTCAAATTCTTCATGACATTGCACATTTATAGTTATATGAAGCATACACAAGCTTAATATAAAATTTTAATGTATATGTAAAAAAAAATAAATTGGAAAGCCAGCATTTTCTGTAAAAAGCAACAAATTTAACTTCTAATTAAGGTAAGGATTTTACAAAAGGCGTTTAAAGATTTCAAAGGCTAAAGGAAAAAGAAGACAGAAGGTGGTCAACTCCAGTAATGAAGCCCTTCATTTTCTTTGGCAAAGCATATGATCTTCAATGAGCTTTCACTAGAAATCAAAAGCTGATTCACTAGAATTGACCATCTTGATAATTTGACCATAGAAACAGACATTGAATGAATGGCCAGAAAACATCATTATCTTTTCCTCCCATACTGCAAATTTAATACTGTTAATTATATGAGAGACCCATTCCAAAGGAGTAATCTTTATTACAAACAAAGACTTGGGCATTACTGCAAATCAGCTGAAATTCTTTGCTATTTTGAAACTCCAGATTGGAAGAAGGACCTTACAAGATCATATCAAAATGACTTAATAAAGTAAGAACATTTAGAATGGTATTCCAAGAACTTATTTCTGTAGAAGACTTTAAAGAAAACTAGAATAACCCCCCCTGCCCTTTCACCTTTGCTATCCTTCTCTTTGCAGTTTTCAGATTCTCTTCCCATGTCAATTACTGGTTTGACTTTGTTCTTCAGGACCAGTTAAACAAAGGTAGTCAGTTCCCAAGAAACACACAAGACCTTAAGGTCCTGCTTTCATAGTTTTACCTATTCGACAGAAATTATGTAGCTGCTTTGACCTTTTGGAGAATCAAAGTCCTTGTAATCAAAAAAGTTATTTAACTTAAAATATTTTAATTTTTATGTGAAAACACCCAATAATAATCAATTTGCAACTCAACATTATTATGGTTCTCTCAAAGAACTGCAGGCAAAAGTTTGTATCATTGAAAAAGTTTCTGTAATGATTACAGCCTCATGTTCTGCCACACACAGAATTCAGCACTGTCTTTAAACACAGACGGTCTCCTATATGACCGCCCATTTCAACACATGGTAACTAAAGAGAGACCTGTAGTTTGTTAATGATTGAAACTTCCAAACTGGATAATGAATGGATACTGCACACATCCCTAGATACGTCTGAGTTCCACGAGAAATACAGTTATTTGTTTTGTAAGCCTACATTGAAGAGAAGTGAACATTTTTCTCATAATGCTTTGTGTTTTATACATGAGCGCTATCTATCTCATTTTTGCAGAGGGATTTTACATCAAAAAATTGTCTTCCAAATGTGTTAACATAGATTCAAAGCAACACCTGAGATTTGTTACTAGCAGACCTAGTACACTATCTTCCTCAATCTAAACACTCCAGACTTACATTTCATAGAAATGAATCATTGCATTGCCATCAAGCAAACAAAAAATTGAAGAGAAGCTATTTAGTTGTGTTTGTGCTGAACAGAAAAAAAAAAACTTCAAGCAGTAGTAACTGGATTACTTTTTCCCTCCCCACCTGTATTGAAGCGATTGTATCAACCCCATTAGTATTTTAGGTAACCTTTCCCTAAAGGTTGCAAAATTTGGAGAACATTTGTTTCTACCATGTTTTATCCTGTATCTAATGAGAGGGGGTAAGGAGCCAACCAGGCCTCTTCCAACACAAAACTTCAAGAAAGGTAGAAAAAGAAGTTGATTAATCAACAACTCCAACATAGCTAAGTAACATCAGAAACTAAAATTCACAACAATGATAACCTACATATTACAAGACAGACTCATTGCAATATTTTGTTACAAAGGATATTCCAGAGCTTCTGGATTAGTGTCCCTATCTATTCTGTCAGAAAACACAAGTACCTCTACACAAAAAAACCCAGTTTCTAAAAACATGTGCCTATGATTTAAAATAGATATTAGCTTTTAATCTTGCTGAAAGAATCCCTTACTAACATGGGCAGAATAAGAAGTGTAAGCATGCAAATCTGTTAACCCTTTTCCTTCCCTCTGTAGAAACAAAAGCAAACACACATTAAAAAGAAAAACCAACCCAAACTAAAATCAAAGCCACTCATTAATAAAACTCTCAAACCAACCAAAACACAAACAAACCAAACAACTCCAGCCCAGAGCCAACAGTCTGAACTTCACACTGCAGACAGTAAGACACAGTCTATCAATTATTTGGTACCATCAACAGCAACAAAAACACATGTTAAAAAATCACAGACACTCCTTATGAGAAGATGGACAATACATGGTTTTGATACAATAATTGTCAAGCTATATAGAAGAAGAAAGTTATCAAAAGGAGGAAACTCATTTCACAGTTCACCAGGGGTCAATGCTCTTTCTGGAACTACCAGCTTGTGAGAAGCTGAAGTACTTTTTGAAGCAGTATTTATCTCTTTTTCCCTTGTTACCTATGGATGTCTGTCAGTTACAGATTATTAGCAGTAATGAGAAAGCCTCAGGGTGTTGAGTGCTCCCTGTCCACAGCACAAAACACAAGCATGGGCCCCAGAGCTTGCACTATCAGGATGAAATTTGGCATGTAATCCATCAGAACAGCACTGACTGTGAGGATTCTTCATCCCTTTTTACCCAGACTATGCTCCAGGGCAACTTACTTGACAGCTGAAGAAGAAAAGCCAGCTTTATAGAGCTATGGGGAAAAAAAATGGGGCCATCAGGATAAAACAGCCAGTTCCATGGTAGATATGGCAAATCCTTTGATTCTTGGAAATAAACTTTTAAAATATTGTAGTAAATTGATTCCAAGAGAATCTGTAGTTAATACTAAATCACATCTCCCTCAAGGCTATTGGAAATTACACAAAACTATACCTGCTTAACGTTTCAAGCCACTTTAACAGAATTATAACCAACCAACACTATGATTCCTTTCCCATCAATGTCACATGAAAGATTCAAATGCAATTTTTAATAGCACTCACAGGATCTATTAACATTGATACATGGGGTACATTATAACAAGAGGATTAATTCACCTGTTACAGTATATGCCTAGCCATTGAAAAAGTAAATATCTTGCCTATATCTAATTAAGAATGGTGTAAAATTCACAGAAAGTGGGCCTGAGATTCGATTTTACATTTGGCTTCAGTATCTGCAGAAGTGCACATCTGTGTTTATGGATGATATCTGACTGTTGCAGGAGATATTTACAAGTATTTCCAACAGAGAAAAACTTAATGATACACTTACTGCATGGGGTGTTTGGTCTGCTCACAAGCTGTGGGAAGGAAAAGATAGCTGACATTTCTACTCCATGGTTTTGATTTTGATTCTTTTCTTCAGCCTGGTCAGCCCAAGCTACAGATTTTTGTCTTTGAATCAGCTGCTCAACCTCTGCATATTCAGTCTCACTTAAGTCATTTGTCAAGCCAGCTTCTTTCAACATCAGATATTGCTTGCGAAGCACTGGAAGTGCAGTATTTAGTACTCTGTAAAACAGCAAGACGCAAGACAAGTTCCCTTAAGGAAACACATTTTTAATCCAGAAAACAAGTTTGAGAAAAATCTTGCTTCTGTTTCAATTAAAACTAAATTCTCTAAATAGGTCTTCTCAAGTTACAAGTGTCAGAACATCTTATCCCACCCACCATGAAATCATACTTACTTTTCTGTTTGCTTATTATACTGATCTTGAAGGGACACCAGAGTCAACATGTGCTCAATCTGGGCTTTAAGGGCCTGAACTTCTAGGTTTAAATGGCAATATTGCAGATCTTGATAAAGTTCCTTTAAGAAATTAGAAATAAAAATGAAAATCAAACAGCTGTACATCAAACTGGTAGGAAGAAACTAAAACTTCAACTAAAAATAATATTAGATTAGTCTATATTGAAAAGTAAAGATGGAGTGGAGCTATATTATTTTAATAAATTTTTACGGTAGAAAAGTATGAATTATTTGATTTTTATTTACATGCATAAATGTAACTTTGTAGATTCCTTTGACCGATAGTATGTGTACTGCAATCAGCATTAAAAATCCAACAGGCACACATGGATGCTTATCTATGCATGCCCAAACATGTTTGCCTCTTTTTGTATACTCCCTCCATATATTTTACTTTATTTTTATTAAGCTGTTCTTAACTCAGAGGTTTTACCCTTTTTCCAATTGTCCCCCCATCCCCAACCATGGCAAAGTGAGAGGCATTTTACTTTTGGGATGCACCCATCTTGACCCAGGAGGTGCATTTCATTTTCAACACGGTGCAGCCATTTGGTGTTTTCCTCAAAAAGATTGGTCTGCTCTTCTTTCTTCTTCTGCATGAGTACATAGTGGCTGTTAAGTGCTGAAAGCCTTAGATCCCGCTTGCAAGCGGCCTAAAAAAAAAAATTCCCCCCCCAGAAATAATCAGCATTTAAGGTGGAAACCTTCAAATTATGTCTACCAAATTCTCTTTCTTTATAAAGAATTTTTTCCTTATTTTTATAAAACATAACCAAATAATTCCTAGCAACTCGAGTATGTCCTACAAAAAGCCTGCTAAAGGAAGGATAAAACATTAAGTAAAGGAAAATCCTCTATCTTCAAATATCAAAGTCTTCTGATGTCTGTACTGTTTCTGAACTATGACAACTAGAAGGCACAAAACCAGCAACAGCAAGCTGGACATAAGCGAGGTAGTGTCCTAACAGGGCAAAGGGTACCCTTTTCTATTTAAAAGACAACTATACTCTGTCCTTGATCTCCATAAACAGGTCACTACATCAATAGTCATAGAGGAGTGATAATCTGTGTGTCCCATTTTTGTGAAATATTTATGCCTTAACTCATTACACAATTGCTTAAGAAACACTCACACAAGTATACCAAAATGAAGAGTTGATACCCTGAACTACATTACAGAAAACTCACCTTTTCTACTCTTTCTTCAGAGCACATCAGTTGAATTTGTTCATGACACTGATTCTGGTAATATTTCTTTAGTATATTTTCTTTCAGTTTCTTTTCCACACTGAGGTACTCTTTTCTGATTTCCTCACGGTTTGCAAAAACATTTTTAAGTATTTCTTTGTACCTAAACCCAAAGGATAATAATTAATTATTTATTGAAGACTTTTTATAAACTATCTCTTTGATAGGGAAATTTTAAATTCCAAATTAATAAAATAAAGAAATTAAAAGGAAATAAGTAAAGCCTATTATAGACAGGTACTAAATAAAATGTCAGTACATCAGTAAGAATTTTATGTATTTGAACTGAAAATGGGATGTGAAATTTTGAAGGAGTCACTAAAAATAAATCTTATCATAATTATGAAGACAACACTGGGATTTAAAAGACTTATGTGAAGAAGCTTCAGATGCCTTTCTCTAACACCAGAATATACTAAATACCTATGTTCTCTACTTTTTACATCAATTTATTAAACAGATCAGACTACTGTTGCCATAGACACACAAGGTGCTCAAAACCCTGCTAGCTATCCTCAAAAAAAAGGAAAACCACAAAGTTCTGCAGATACTTTGCCTGAAGGTGCTGTACAATTTCCATCACTAATGGACGACAAAAATCAGAACTTTCACACGTTTTAACACATATTAGGCTAACGCGAGGGAAAACCAAACTGTGGTAGATGGTACTCAAGGAGTTATTGAGTGACCAGTTATCTGGGTACCCCTGGTCTGCAGCACAAGGTAGAATAACAAGAACAAGAAGACCTGGAAGCATTGCCATACTGCAATACAACTTTCACTGGTGGTACCTTCTCACTTCACTCCTGAATACTGAAATTTTACAGTACAGAATGGCCAAAAACTCACTGTACATCTCAAGAACAACCAACCTCATGTATAAAGTATTTCATTACATCCTACATTGTTGGAACTTTAAATAAAAATCAAAGTTTAACATGCAAGTGTTCTAAAGACATACAACATTTGAGGTTATACAGTTTTCAGTATTAAAAAACCCATACAATTAAAAACTGTAAAAATGCTAAAAAAACCCAGGTTCAACTCCAGAACAAGTTAGAGACATTCTTGTCATGTACTTGACTTCTTGCCAGTGTTTCAGAAATAGTAATTCTATCTCAGTCTAAAGTTTGACTGAGTCTTTTATTCTGAATGTTTTACTACTTGCCTTTTAAAAAGAAACAGAATTAAGAAAATAATTCTTCTCTGCAGATTTAGAAATACAAGAGGCTTTCACTGAGTGTCTAGAGGATGCTATCATATCTAAGTAAAATGTGTACTAAAACACTCACAGAATTTATAAGTGTTATTACTTTAAGGAACAGTAATAGGTTAATAGTTGGAGTCCATGACCTCTGAGGTATTTTCTAACCTAAAAGATTCCATAATAATGAAAAAGTCAGCTGCAGAGTATCAGAGCTCTTACATCACACATTTCCTATCTATATAATTATTGATTGATTACACACTGCTTGGAGAATTTTTGTCCTCCATATTATCCACAGAAATATGCTTCCTTCCAGCTGCCTGGGAAACAGCAATAAGGAAACAAAGTGCATTCTCCCAGTTTCCATCACAGTAAAAAGCTGTGTAAAAAAAGTTCAGAGGAGAGTGGAAATTCTGATTCTTTGTACCCTGCTTATGAGGAGCCATGACTGCTAAACCAACCTTTGGTGTACTTATATTCACCAGTGTTCCAAATGAAGCATAAAGTATAGAAGCCTTTGTGGATTCAGTCTTTCAATTAGCACATTTCTGTGTCCACTGTCTACCCTAACAGGCTCAAGACTTGAAGGGTTGGCAGAGAGCCCATCTCCAAGCTTCGGCAGAAGGAGGAATGACTTTTAGGTTTGAAGAAGCAAGTGGTGTACTCAGTGAGTCTCTTTCAGGTAACAGTGATGCAAAAACCATGGGTCGTTGGACTGAAATACAAGACAATGAAAAAGGCTCTCTTCCCTGTCCCAACTAAAAGGGAGAAGGCAGCACAATACCTTCAAAACCTGTAATGGGAGAAATCAACTCATTACCCACACTACATTGTTGTGACGAATCTGGCAGGATACTCCTGAGAAAGAAGAGAATGTGACCTCCACATAATTTCTGACATCCAGAGGGACTGGGATAGGTTTACATGTTGCCCTTGTGATTTTCCATAACAATGAAATGCAAAGGAATATTCTCTGACCAGCAAACCTTGGCATGGAATATGTTCAGCCTTTTGAAAAGATATTTTAGAGACCTTGCCCTTGACTGACTCTTCCCACACACAAAGAATGAAATAAAGGGCAAATCACAGGAAATTAAATCAATCTTAAAGACATACAGTGCAAAAATATGCAGGAAAACTGTCAGAACTATCAACATGACTTCGAAGCCCACACTTCTTTTGAAAATTTAATTCAAATAACCTGAATGAAAGGGTTTATTGAAATGTCTGGAATGCGACTAAAATAAAGCACAGTTAAAGAATATCTTGCTTTGAATGTTTTTTTACTATACCTCAGAAAGTTTTCCAGGTTAAAAACCAGCACATTCAAAGGGCCAAAAAAAAAAAAAAAAAAAAAAAAGTTAGCTGAATCAACTTAGGCAAGTAATTGTCAGAAAGATGAGATGAGATATGTAGAGACACATCCAGAAAGTCTTTCCAAAACCTACCCTCTTCATTGAATACAGTGACTTCTGCAACAAATAGATACCTCACATTTGAGTTTGTTACATTTTGTGTTCTCTCATGAGACTGTCACATGAGAAAAGATAGCCAGGAACATTACCAGAAAGAAGAAGAGGCCAAGAAGTATTAAAGCAATAGAAAGTAAGGAATCTACAAACATAAAGCAAACCCTTTATAGAAAACCTTTCAGGTTTTGTCTCTCTCAAGCCTTGCAGGAAAGATCCCACTCAAATCAGTGCCTGCCAACAGTCGCAGAGCTGCTGTCATTTATGCAAAACTGCATTCTGCCTACCCACAAACACAACCTGTTCAGGAGCTTTGCTGGAAGCCAGCATTCCTATGCTCCTTCTTGTCACGTGTCATTTCCTACATCCTCCCCTTTCGTTTTAAAACCACCACCAAGTTGTTCTAAAAAGAACCAACACGTCAGGCAAAGCCATACCTAGATCTAAGTAAAGCAATGTTAAAATGAGAAAACCAAGACTGAAAAGAGTAGGTTTGTTTAACTTGTAAAAGCATTTGTAAAACAAACTCCAGCTTGGAAGCAAATGTGATTCATTTACCTTTCTATTTCCATTCGCTGGTTGTTTGAATGTTCTGCAGTATTATGATTTTCAGGAATGCTTGCTTGCTTTTCTTCGTATTCTCTCAGTTTCTCCTTCAGCATTAGGATCTAAACCAAAAGAGGCACCTTTCAGTTGAGATATGTTTTTTTGTTTGTTTCCCAATATTATCATTCTGTGCTGATATTGAACAATTTTACAAACAGCAGCAGGTGATATTCCTCTCGGAAGACAAAATTTTCTTCCTTCAAAATACATTAGACCCATATTACCTTACAGATTTAATCCCATCAACTATTTATTATATTCAAAGTTAACAGATTTTCTTACATACCTCTTTCTTTTGTTCCTTGCAAATTTTAGCATACTGGCTTATGTGACTGTCCAAACTAATAACGTTGCTCTTCAACTGCAAAGAAACAAATTAGAATTTAAAGGCAGCTCCTTCATGTTTTCATGCATAATAAGCATGCTGTGTGTATGTACTGCATAGTTACATATACACGTTATGAGAAAAGATTAATAAAATTCTGACTTGCACAACAAGAATATGACAGCTTTTGCTGTCATCTGTTGCACACCCATGGCCAGGAAATTTCCCTCAACAAATCAAGAATAATTTCATTTCCATATGCAAGCACATTTTGCATTCATTCAGATTAGTTTTACTATTTAGATGTCTGTCTTGTGCATTTTATAATAAAAGCTACCATTAAGTATGCAACAAATGGAATATACAGTGAACCCCATACAGTGAACCCAGTGAATCACAGAAAAATAATTAGGAGCTGCAATAAAAAAAGATGATGAAAAATAAAATTAAGCAATAGAGAGCAGAAAAGGACATTCCAGTTTTTCATTTATCAAGACAATCTTGCTGAGCTTCTTGACTCCAGCTGAATTCTACCTGTACAAACCTGGACTGGCTCTTGTACAACTGGTCAGAAATGTCTTTAATATACTTTTCAGTTCTCTGAGAAAGTAATAGCGAAATAGTGGAAAAGGATGTGAATTCTACCAGCTTTCCAAATTTCATGCTCACAAAACAAACTGTTTCAAACTGGCAGCATCATCTCATTAAGGAAGTTATGCTGCTTTTAGGCCAGATCTAGGATTTACTATGTATCCACTACACCTATCAGTCAGATAAGAAAGAGTTAACTGTAAAGAAAGAAGATGCAACAGAACAAATTTTTGAGTCAGAAGGGAAGCAAAATATAATATTCCAAAAGAAATTATTTTTATTTTAATACTACATTATTGTACTTTGACAAGAGATCAGTAAAAGCAATATACGCACAGAAGACTTGATATCCTTTGCTCGGTTTGCATACTTCAGAGTATTATAGGTATCATCATAAAACAAAGAAGATGGGCTAATAGCAGCTATCATTATTGTTCTGCAGTTTCCTCCAAGAGAATCCTTCAATAAACGAGTAAGTTTGCTGTTTCGATAAGGAATGTGTTTCTTGCTCTAGAAAGAGTGATAGATATTTGTATGGTTTAGTTAACTGTACTTTAAATAAAAGTCTGCTTAGAATTTCCACAGTAATACAAAACATGACAAACAGCCATGAAACTTTTCTTTGACATAAGCTATTTTTCTTTGAAGTGTCTGTACATCTTAAACAGTTTAAGTCTCTTGGAACTGTTCAGCACCTTTCCAACATATGTATTAGCTAAGTTACCTTCTGATGTCTGGATATGTAACTCCTATTTCTGTGATGGGACAACTAACAGAAAAGGTAAACTACATTAAATGACTTTCGGTTTACAAAATCATCCACATTGGAAAGAACCTCTAAAATCCCTCTAATTAAGCAGGGTCAGCTAAAGTAAGATAGCAAGGATTACGCCCAGCAGAGTTTTGATTACCTCCAAGGATGGAGATTTCACACCTTTCCAGGCAACACATACTCTGCTTTGTGAAGCTACACAATTTTCATCTCATGATACCAAGTTTGGTCACTAGGAACCCAATCCCGTATCAAATAAACCAATGTGATTCTTCCATACATCTGTGGTACAGATTTTTAACTCCACCTTCCCCTCCAACAAGATGGTGATGAGGACATGCAGCATCAGGAAGGGAAATTAAATCTGATTTTCTCCCAGCATATTTGAAGGAGGAATTTGCTAGTTGGGCAGAAGGACAAAAAGACTGTTATGGTAGACAATGGACTTCACTTATGCAAAGGCTCAGGTTTTATCATTCCTTGCCTTGAGCTGGTGAGCCAGATCCGGAGACTGACCCACTGCTTTGAGCAGGCATGTGCGTGTGTATGGATGTATGTGAGATCCCAAAAGAACAACTTGGAAGAGGTGCTGTTTTGTCCTATAAAAGCTACTCCCTTGTAAGGTTATTCATGTACTCATGCAAGCTTCCCTATAGATGCTTCATTTTGAAGAAGCTAGATAAGAAAAGCAGGTACCATTCATCTTTAATGCTATCCTTAGCCAGCTGCACATCATTTTTGAGATTTCTCACTCACTGGGACTGTCTTTCAGCTATCACAGATACGATGGTGGAAAGCCTTAAGACAATCTTATATGAGAATGATGATGTGAGCAGCATCAGCAATGTAACCCACATTATTCAGTCAGCTGATCACTTTTTAAAATGTTTTCAGAATCCTAGGAGGCCAAGAGTGCATGGGCAAGCAGCACATACCTTTGGATCTGCCAGGGCATTAATGACATTTCCAAGAGCCAGCAGGGACCGGTTAATATTTGTTCCTTCCACAAAACGAGCCCCCTTGGCACTGGTTGCATTGGCACGTTCAGACCCTGCCAGGTCAATGAGAGACATTTTGGCAATACGGATGTTTTGATTAATGCTAGCTGTTTTGTCTTGCTGCCGAAGGTAAATCTACAATTAAAAAAAAAAAAAAAAATTAAAAAGTGACCACTAACCAATCTAAGCAGTAAATTCATTTCATAGTGTAACAACTGGTTTAAGACATTTGTATTGGATCTCCTGCCACTTTCCCTTCACTTAAGTGGAGCACAAGGTACTTTGTTCTCTCACATCCTGCTGCAGAGGATTAAGCAACCAACTGGCCCAAGCTCACAAAGCAGCAATGATAAGAAAGTTTTTTTTACAGGAAAAAATTAATTTCACAGCTCTTGATTCTTCTGCACCAAAAATGCATATCACACTCCTGAACTTCAAACTGAAAGAGGTGTTCCTTTTTCAAATGCACATTTAGGAGTACACCATAAAGAGATGTATAGTGATAAACCAGGAAAAGGCTGACCTTCCAGTGATTTAGATTTAATTGTATTTTCCATTAATAGGAAACAATACCCATTTACTGCTGTGAAAATACACTCCAGGATCTTTTCAAATGTGATGCCTCCTGAAGCCACTTGCTCCCCTTCACCCCATCTTTCCTGACATTTTCACAGGACAAAGATGTACAAATAAATAAATGCTTCTGCTTCTGTCTGCTGGTGAAGGTATTCTTTCTTCAAATTTATAAGGAAGCAGGCAAAGCATGAACATACAGTCAGTAAGAAGAATCAAAGTCATCCTTAGATGGCTTTATACTTTTACAGTATCTATGGCCCCTCTTTTGTGTTGAGTGCCCTGCCATTTGTTAATATCACTAATGGTTACGGACACATTCATGAATGCCCTTCTGGACAGTGAATTAGGAAAGAGCTGCCATGAACACAAGGTGACTGACTAGTAAAAACAGTATCTCACTACCTCTGTAGCTTTAAGCTTTGTGCATGAGAAGTGAAGTCTTCATAGTACCTTGTAACAGAAAACAAATTGACAAGTATTGTGAAAGAATAAAATAAAATTAGTATGACTTGCCATGAAACGTAAATCTATTTCAAACAGATATGTTTCTATATCAAACAGTACAACTAAGTTCAGTTGTACTGCTTCCAGTATAATAGACAAAAAAAAAAGAACCTCAGGCTGGGAACACCAGAACACAATAACTATCATTAATGAAGGAGGGAAAGGTAGGGTGACAGCCAAACTGTGTTGAATGACTCAAGCTTTTATAAGAATTCAAAAGATACAGGAAATGCCCCAAAGCAGAACACTCAATAGAACAGTGTAGCAATTCAGATTTTCCTCTCAGATGCAGTAATTGCCTGACCCAGATAGATATTTCAAACCTAAGACATATGGTACAGTAAAGCAAAACTTGCATCTGTAAAATCAGCTAAGAATGTCCTGGGCCAAGACTTACCAATTTCTGAGTCAGTTTCAGATAATATCCTGATCCCATAAAATTAATAAGAAAAGCTAAAAATAACCTATCTCTACAAAAAAGCAACTCTTAAAATAATAGCAACATTAAAAATGAAGAGCAATCACGAGAGCACTGGGGATTTCTCATGCTTACATCTCTGGAAACAAAGACACAATGCCGCTATGCAGAATGTCACAGATTTGTGGAAACAGATGAGCAACTGAAGTGATTTATTTAATTGATTGCCACTTGTAGAAATGTACTGAGAAAAAGCCTGCCAGATAATAAAATGCAGAGCTTTTTCCTAAGAAAAGGCGAGGGAGATAAAGATCCCAGCAAGTAAACAACCAGAAATCAGCAGCTCACTCTGATCTGTCTGCAGCACTGTACCTGGAGCCTTTCTAAAGGCAGCACACATCCCTGACAATGTACCTCTCAACCCAAACCACTTCAAGAGAAGTCTTTGTGCAATCCTGTACAATGCACAGCAAGGGCAGGCTCAGGGGAAATTCAAAACAGGAAGGGCAAGTGCAAACATAAGTTTAAGGTATATAGGAAAACAGAAGCTTTTAGAATGACAATGACTTTTGTTCTGTTCCATACTTAGAAGCTGTTTTTTTTCAACTTTCTTATAGTTATTTCGCATTGTGTAAGTCTGTAGATACTGTTAAAAACTTCCCAACAGTTAAGAGCTCTAATGCAAAGACCAGAATCAAATGTACTTCAATATTTTTCAACCCAGAGTGGAATTGAATAAATCAAAATAGTGCTTTGCAGTATGTAACAGCAAATCAGGAAAAAAAAAAGACATTGTTGATAACAGTACTAGTTTTTAAATATCATAGGTGTATTTGAAAAGAGAAGACAGAAGAATAAGGCAGTGTAGCCAACCCTGAAAATCTTGGGAGAAGTCTTAAGTTTTAGCATATTTGTACAACTCATTCAAAACTCCTTTCTGAAAACTAAGAATCATCATTTCACTTTTCTAAAACTTGATCCATACCAGGATATTAGAAAATCACTTTATTGTAAAAATTAACATTAACTAAGGAAGTAAAATACAAAAGTACTACTTGAGATTCTTAGTTTATAGTCAGACATGAACTGCATTCTGTAAATTATTTTTTCCAAAGAAATGCTAAGCAACATCATGATACCAAAAAGCATTAAAAAAAACAATAACAACTTTCAGTTTTTAAGATTACAATATGCAAGTCTATGGAAGTTTTAAATTACCATTTTACATAAGTTATTTCCTCTAAGGAATATAAGTTAAGAAGGTATAAGTACATATTTTATATATATGTAAGTTCAAACAATTGGAATTCGAGATCTTGTCACCGAATTCCTTTTTTCTAACATAAACACTGAGAACCATTACATACTTCCAAGGAAAAAGGAGTAACAAGAAGAGTAGACTGAAAGCCTTCAATCCTCTCTTCCCCAAACTGAGGTTCAACACAGTTTAAAAGCAAAAGTTTCCATTGTATCCATCTTTAAACAAAACCAGCAGCTCCCAGTAAAGACCACTGTTGACTGGCTATGTCATCTTACCTGAAAGACAGCATGGGACCGGGAAGAGGAGGCATTCACATCTGTGGGATGCTGGGTTCTATTTTTGTTTCCATAATCCAGCATCTGAAGGATCTCCTCTGCTGATTTAGGCTTTAAGAGTAAAACACATAACAAATATATCAGTTTCTTTTCTTTTCCATCAATTATAGGAATACACTGATTCTAAAATACATTTACTTTAACATTCGCCTTCAAAAAAAATTAAACTTCAAATTTTAGTTACCTAGAAGTAAGGAATTTCCTGTTTTGGAATTGAGGCACATCAAACAAATATTCTCCGCTAAAAAGCAGTAAGGTATGAGAAGCAAGCACTTAAGTGCAGCAGCTTAAATCACAAAATATTTTTAGATTAGAATTTAAACAAATATGACAGATTCTCCATATTTAGAATCAGCCACTTTTAAGAATGTCTGGACTTAAATTAGTATACCACTATTCAATGCATTAGTACAAGAAAAGTTTTTTTCCTCACAAGACTCAAGGTTTGGGAAGAAGCATGTTCACAGAGCTAGCCAAGCTTAGAATATTGTTTCCTGTCACAGCACGTAACATACACAAAGCTGCAAGAAAATAGGTCCACAGTAATTGATATTCAGATTGGAAAACTACATTCTATCACTGACCTTACCAAAGAATTGCTGTGCTGGTCTGGAAAAGTAATTTAACATGGAACTCTTCAAACATGGCTTTTTACAAACAAAAACAACCTTTAGACTTCACAGCTGTGTAGAGCACTCCAAGGTGGTAATGAAGGCAATGCCAAGATATTTTAGCCCAAAAAGTAATCTTCCAAAATCTGCTGGATAAGCATCAAGCCAGCGTACCCTTTTGATAACAAGGACTGAATGCTTCTATATTTGCATTCAACGAGACTAGCAGTTTTTTTTCCACAATGTACTTTTAACTAATTAATTAGATTTTCAAGTTACTGGTGCTTACGGCCAGAAAAAACCTCACTAGGAAATTACCAAATTCCATTAAACTCTCACATAGAACAATGGGAATGTTCTCAAATATCTCAAGCACATTTTAAGTTTCTAGAGCTATTTACGTACCTGATGCAGTGTCAGACCTTGAACTACCACCCCTTGCTGGCCATCCTCACGAACAGCCAGAGGTCCAGAGTTGACCAGGAGATCACGAATCTGTTCATTGTAAACCTTTTAAAGGAAATTCAAAAGATTTTATTAAAATACCCTCCCACAGCTGACAGAATTAAATAAACAGAAATTACCAGTCTTTTTTAATACTCCTTAAAGACAAAGAAGAGAATTCTGGCTATAATTTTTTCACGTTTTTCCCATACCAAGCTTAAATATTCAATCCATATGATTTCTTTTTAGATTTTAGGAGTAATTCTTTTTAGTAAATAATCTTTATTCTTTATTGAAAAAATTACCTTTTTTTACAAAAAACCGGTTTTGCAACAAGCATGAACACAAAGCATTTAGTTTTCTCCATTGTGCATCACAATCCCTACTTCAGTGACATTTCTTAGTTCAAACCTACTTCTGTTAAAAATTTTAAATCTCTTATTTCTTGGTCTGTGGAAGCATACAGCAAGGCAAACTTTCCCCATCTCCTTCTACCCCTCCCAAATACCAACTAGAGTCCATTAAGACACTGAGGGAGCTAAAAAGATAACCATTTGACTAGCACCCTTCAGCAGCAGTGCCAAAACATTTACTTGTAAAAACAGAACACCATTTTGTGGTGCTTTTTCACAGTGTTACAGGATGTTACTGTGAAGTCCTAAAATATTACCCTGAAATGATATTTCCTTGTACACATCAACAGATGCTCAGAGGCATGTAATTGATCAGCAAGACACAAATCATGAACAATCAGTAAGTATGGTAGAAGCGGTGGTTTTTGGGCAGCCTTCTGTAAAACAGTGATAGGTGCCTAAGAACACCAATCACCAACAAGGAACACCAACAAGGCAGTTCCACTCCTATAAGGACACATTTTGTCAAGCCCCAGAAAGGACCAGAGGAAAGCAAAACCAGCTTGTCTTTACTTACAAATATGACTTATTCAAAGCAACATATCAAATGCAGGAACTCACCTCTAAATAAGAGACAGCAACGTCACATGTTTTATCATCTTTTATTTGATCCATGCGTTTATAAAGTGTGACCATAGTTAAATACATGACTCCAGGATCTTCAGGAGAACCTAACATTGTGTGAGTCTTTCCAGCTCCTGTTGCACCATATGCAAGCACTGAATTTCCCCCAAAAAATGACAAAGCAAAACCATGTAATTTATTTGTAAGCTAATCAGGAACACCAAAGACAAATGAACATTCATAGACCTCTGTCATTCTGCACAACTGTTTCATAAATGGATAGTTTCTTACTTAAGCTTTACCTTTCAGATCTCTAATTAGAGATGTTTCCAAATAACATTTTCGAATTTTCAGTTCAAAATTCATTCACTGATACGTCACATTAAAATATTATTTACTTACTCTCATAACCCTAAGCCATCAACTTATTGCTGATAGGCATTTCAATTCCTCACCAGAGTCCAGCAGCCAATTAAAAAACCCCAAGATCTTAAAGAGTTCATAAAGCAGCTTATGTCACACACTCAGTGACACAACTGCTTCTGCTTGAATAACTTTAGAGGACTCCCATTATCACATATATTTTAGATAAAATTCCCAAGTCTATTATAACCTGAACACAAACTTATTTTTAAAATGGAGTAGAGCTATCTAACTTCTATATGCTAAAACGTCAGCCTTTCTGTGAATTAAACCACAATGCTTTATTTCTATCTCAGGCTTTTTTAACGCTCCTGCGGCCATTGGACAGAACGGTACAAATGTTGAGAAATTCCCTTAAGTTTTTTAATTAAAGAAGATAAATAACAAAGTTACCTGTACAGTTATATCCATTTAGGAAGCCCTCAATTAGATTTTTGGTAGTATGCTCAAAAACTTCCAACTGGGATGAGCTGTCATCAAAAATGGCATCAAACATGAACTTCAGGTCTTTCCTTTGTCTTTTATTAATATCCCTATGGACCACTCTCCTCCTGCTGAAGAAGTCAACCTCCTCCTCCTCTGGGTCAAAGACCATCACGTGCTGGTCAATGACACGCACCACCCTGCTGAAGCTGCCCTGCTTTTCTTTCTGGCTCTCTGGCCGGACACGGACCACCACTTTGACGTGGCTGCAGACATCTTCTTCCATGGCTGGAGTCATTCCTCCTGCTCCCCAGCCTCACTGCCAGTACTCGGTCAGATCTAGCAGCTGAATCCTTTCTGCAATTGACAGAGAGGACATTTATTTCAATATGAGCCTTCACTCTTTCCAGCAATTCACACATTCGGTCAGGGCCCTGTGCTGGGCCCATCGTTTGTCATGGGACTGCCCCAGGGCAGCGAGGCTTTGGGACACTCTGTAAGCGCCCCAAAGGATGACTGAACTCAGCACAGCTCTCAGAAAGCCAACCAGCACTGCCCCAGGGAACTCTGAAGTTCATTTCACAATTTAAATACTCAATGCCCTGCAGGCTTTCCTCGATAGCAGACCAAGCTTTCAGACCAGACACCACATTTCTGTGGGCTAAAGCGAGCAGCCTTTTTGTTCTTCAGCAGAACAAAAGCCCGTGTTGCCCTCCCTTGATAGACACAGCCACGTAGCAGGGAGCGTTAAAGAGAGTTAAAGCGGGATTTAGGGGAACGCGCCCCGCACGGGCCGCAGTGACCGACACCAAGCGGGATTTCCTCGCATATCCCATTTCTACTGCTCCCAGCGGCTGCAGGCTCAGCCCAGCAGCGGACACAGTGCAGCTCCCGCTGCCGCCCCAGGGCCGGCTCCTCTCCCGGCCGGGCCCGCCCGGCTCTGCGGTAACTCCTCACCGCCTGCGGGCCGCTCTTCCCCGGGGCACGGCGCCGGGCCGGGCCCTGCGGCCGGAGCGCTCCCCCGGGCCGGCCGCAGAGCCGCTGCCGGGGCTCCGCCTGCGGGCCGGGGCTCCGCTCCCCGTGCCCTCGGCCGCTCCCGGTCTCTCGCTCTGTCTCTCTCCGGGCCGTGCCCTCGGCCGCTCCCGGTCTCTCGCTCTGTCTCTCACCGGGCCGTGCCCTCGGCCGTTCCCGGTCTCTCGCTCTGTCTCTCACCGGGCCGTGCCCTCGGCCGTTCCCGGTCTCTCGCTCTGTCTCTCACCGGGCCGTGCCCTCGGCCGCTCCCGGTCTCTCGCTCTGTCTCTCACCGGGCCGTGCCCTCGGCCGTTCCCGGTCTCTCGCTCTGTCTCTCACCGGGCCGTGCCCTCGGCCGTTCCCGGTCTCTCGCTCTGTCTCTCACCGGGCCGTGCCCTCGGCCGTTCCCGGTCTCTCGCTCTGTCTCTCACCGGGCCGTGCCCTCGGCCGTTCCCGGTCTCTCGCTCTGTCTCTCACCGGGCCGTGCCCTCGGCCGTTCCGGGCTCGCTCCCGCTCTCCCCGCGGCCGCACCAGCACCAACCGCCATCCGCCGGCCGCGGGATTCAAACCCGGCCAGGCCGCGCTCCTCGCCTTCCCATTGGCTGTGCCCCGTGACGTCACCGGAGCGCCAGCATGCGGCTGCGCACGCGGCGCCGTGCACGGGGAGGTCGGGAATGAGGGAAGGAGAAGGATACCTGGAGGGCGGCAGGAAATGAGCGAAGGGAGGCACGGACAGAAGGGAGGCGCTCCCGGGGCGGTCTCTGCTCCGCGTGTCGGCCCGGCCCAGCCCGGCTCGGCTCGGCTCGGCTCGGCTCGGCTCGGGCGGGGACAGCCCCCGGCCGCTCCTCCCGCTCGGCCCGGCGCGGAGCGGGCCGCGGCCACTGCCGCTGCTACGGTCGCTTCTGACCGAAAGTGCTTCGGGCGGGAATTTTGTCCTCGCTGCTTTAGCGCAGGGCCGGTCCCGGGGCGGCAGCCTGCAGTGGGGCCCGGTTCCCTTCTGGCGGGCACTGTTAGATAAATGAAATAAAATCCGGACGGAGTGCTCGCCGGTGAGAAGGAGATCTCCCGTGGGCGGGAGGCCGTGGCTGCGAGCAGAGTGCCTCGCGTCACCCCCGGGGCAGGACAGGGGATGGTGGCCCTGGCCCCGTTCAGCCGCTCCTCGCCCTCACAGAGGGGCCGGGACAGAAGGGGAAGGGTGGGAAGGCAGAAACAGCGGCTGAGGTGGAGAGGGTTTCACGGGGGAGTCAAAAGCTGTGCAGGCAAACAAGAAATGCCTTCCCCTGGTCCAGCCATCTCCAGGAGAGCGGGGCCCATCGCAGGTAACAGTGGTCACTTGGGAACACCAATGCCACCACCCCAATCGTCCTCTTCCCCCCTTTCTGTCCGGAGCACCGTGTCCTTTGGTCTGGAATATCCTTTGGGTGCATCTGGGTCTCCTGCCCAGCTGTGTCTCTTCCCTACTGTGCCAGCAGAAATCCAAACCAGCCCCAGCTCAGCTGCTGGGGAGAAAATTAACTCCAGCCCAGGCAAAACCAGCAGAGCACACCATGGTAATAGGTGTGTTTTCTGTAGGCACACTATGGCTTGTGGTGAAACACACATCTGCGTGTCTGCCCAAAGCTAGAGTGAGGTGCACTTGCAAATTTAAGCTGGGGGAATTACTGCAAAGTCCCTGTAGTAGTCCTGTATTGGAAGCAAAGTCTACAAATTAGATATTACCAATCTACCTCACTGCTCAATGAAAAGTCAGTTGCAGTAAGTCCACACATAAAGAAAATACCTGGAATGTGTAATTACTCAAAATACAGTATAAAAGGGGAAAAAAAATATATTTTTCTTTCCAAGTCTCAGAAAAACACTAGATGAGATATTCCTATTTGTGTAAAAAGGTTTGGAGAAATTTCTTAACCCACACCACTGAATCACCCTTATATCAGGCTCCATCTGTAGAATTCTTACTCGTGTAAATAATATAGGGCTTGAATTCATGTTTTCTCCAGTGATTTTTAAACCTTTGCATTTCACTTGAAAAAGAGAAAAAGGGAATCTCAGAAGCCTGATTTTGCCATTTCTAGCAGTGTGGAAAGGGGCAGACATAGAAGGAGAGTATTTTTTGATTGAAAGAATATGTAAGGTTGTGAGATGACATGAATTTCAGACTTTATCAGTAAAATAAAATGTGTAGCATTTAACATGTATGAAGTCATGCTGCCCATAAGAATATTGGCTATCCAAGAGATTTGTCAATTTTACAATAATAGAACTGCCATAAATTAGACCTTATATTGAAAATTATCTGTTTCTAAATTAGTAAGTGTTGGAATCAAGGATCAGTTTCTCAAAAATTTGCTCATACCTGAAGCAAAACATGTTGCCTGCTCATTTGTGCAGACAGATACAAGCTACGGAAGGTTGTAACCGATGCCGTTTAACCCAGCAGGGACGAAACAGTTACTGAAATTGAGAAAAAACTATTTGTGATTTCACGGCCATGCTATCAAAATATCTGAACAGTCACTGTGTGCACCCAGACAGTGGCATTTGGAGTGAAGAGGTGAGGCAAAGAAAGGAACAAAAGGCTGGGAAGTGGTGGTGGTTGTGGGTGGGAATTGTTGAAGATCTTTGGGTCAGTTCAGGGGAGCATAACCCTTGAGCCTTGCAACGTGGCATCAGTACATTTGCCAGAGCAGCTGTACCACCGTCCCTGTTCAAACAACCCACTGATCTCTCCAAGCAGCAGAACAAAGGATTAACACAGCAGAATTGACAGGTAAACCTTCCCATTTCAAGTTAGGCATGTTTCAGTGGCAACGAGGGAACAGAGTTAACAATGAGAACTGAACCCACCTCTCTATGGTCTGAAAGTTGGTGGGGATTCCTCCAAACACTATAGTCTCCAGTGAGAGACTATTATGTTTCTACACAAGAGTGAGAGGCGGTTATAAATAATTATAGCATATAATCTAACATAATATAATATAACATAATGTAATAAATATAATATAATATATAATATATAATATATAAACAATATATATAATAGTTGTATATTAGTTTAATATATAATACTAGTATATATAATTCCATACAATAGATATATTGTATGTAGATATATATATACTATACTTATATATATAAAATACTATTTATATATAATATTAGCTTTAAGTGTGTATTGTCACACTTTATGGAGTGTGAGACATTTCTGCATGGCCTCCGATAGAGCTAAGGGTAAGAGGTCAGCACATCTATTTTTCTTGGTGAAGGCCTGTTTAAAGAAAAATCTTTGTTATGTATGGCAAGACAAATGAGGGTCTTTGCCTAGCATGTGGATTTAGGTTTCCACTTCATTTAATTCTGATGAATTTTTAAATTCCTGTTTATGTTCACAGCCAAAAGCCTGCTTCTATAATATATATCCCATAAAACCTGTCCATAGTCTCTACAGTTCATAATTGAGGAGTGAACAGGAGGAGATGAAAGACAGCAAAATAGGTTACTGGGAAACTGGTGATTTTTTTTAAAAAAATAGTATATGTCAAATTAAAAGTAAGAGACATTAAAGAGAAGATGTCAAACAAATAAAAATGGTCAGTGATGACTAGGAAAGCTATCACATGAGCATATTAATAAGACATATAACTGAAAATAAAAATGGCTGAGATTAAATGATGGGAAGTGAATTAATGAGAGGAAAATCTGCTACTCTTCCCAAAGGTAGAGCTGGAAGCTAAAGAAACAACTAGTTATTTTAAGTGTTGGAGAATAGGCAGTGGAATTGTTGAGGGTGTGAAGAGAGTGTACTGACGTGAAAATAAATTTTGGGAAAACATTACTGAAAATATTAAAGCAAGCTCTTTTATGGCTTCAACAATAAAGATTGAAACCAGCTTGTCATGATTTCAAAGTTGCCTTCAAGGTTGTACAAGTAGCAATCCCATAGAAAGCCAAATGAATCAGAAAAAATGTAGCCCTTCTCTGGAGAAGAGGAGGGATTGGTGTAGAGAAGGTCACTGGTCCTAGAAGGTCCATCCTCCTTTCTCCTCTGAGCTGCAGAAGGGGAAGTGGAAAATGCACTTGCCTGACAGCTCTACTGCCCAGACAATTGAACTAGCAGCAGATCTAAAAGAAGAAAAAAAAAGTGTCTCATAACAGCCCAGCCCCAGACTGAGCAAGAGCAAAGGACCAAATCCAAATTCCACAAGTATGGAAGACTTGGAAGATTTGAATATTAGTTAGTTTAATTTCATGTCATTTAAGATAGCTGTTTCAGGCACATGTTATTCACATGAAAAAAGTGTTCTGGTGATGGGACTATTAAACCCTCTGTTTTATATTTCTTATCTGCTGGGGTGTTGTTATTACTAGTATTACTGCTACCAAATTCACACTCTGAAGAAACATCAAACATAGAAACAGAAATTATGACCCAGGCCATTAAGAGCAGAAAAACAAACTTTCCCTGAAAACAAACATTATTCAAAGATTTTAAAAAATGGATAGAGGGAAGAAGTGAACCTGGACATGTGTTCCACTTCTGCACATAACAGAAATACCAGGAATAAAATTACTAAGAATATGTCCAAAAGGTGTGGTGCTGAAAAAGAGGAGCCAGAACTAAAAATTTTTTTTCCTGACTTTTGTGATGTGGTTTTAGATTTTAATAACTTAAAAAATGCTGTATTAAATATATCCTATCAATCACAAACTATCTCACAAGATACCCTCATGATTTTCATACGTCACTCTTCCCCCTTACCAATGTTTCCTGCCCTTCTGATATTGTCATCCGAGTTGTGGCAATTTGAAGCATTTATGGCAATATGTTGTACATGCACTCAGTGAAAGTTTTCAGGTTAAATAACAAAGTGAAAAAGCCTGAAAGCTTTTTCTCCTAACCCAGGCAACTCCATGTGCAGGTGTGTTGGCACAACCAAAACTGCGGCATGGGGTCAGGAGCAATTGTCTAGAAACAAAAGACTAAAATTGGCTTTCTGGCTTAAAAGAAGAAAGGATCCTATCAGAGTATGCAGGTAGGAAGGCTGTATTAAACAGAGATGTAAATAAAAAAAAAAATATTATATAAAAAAAGAATCTCTGGCATGTCACAGAAATACTCATGAATAAAAGGAAAAAAAATCTTCCTTTATAATGTTAACAGTGATCATCTAGTATGGCTCTTAAAATCCTGTTCTTATGCACAGAACTGGTTAAACAAGAGAAAGAATGGCCTTGGATTCTTGCCCTTTATTTGCCTTGAACATCACTCAGGGAACAAAGATAATAGACTGCTTCACCTTGTCCCCTTCTTTTTGCAAGAAAGGACATCTGCAATATATTTACAGAAAAAAATGATGGACTATGCAATGAAAAAAACTCTTGATATATGTACATGGTAGATAAAATAATTTGTGGGCTGCAGTTAAACTGGAAAAGTTAGTTCTTCAGAAAGGATGATTTGTTGTTTCCTATGCCTGTGTCCTGGTTCTGGACAGGACAGGCTTAATTCTCGCAGTAGGCAGGAGAGGCCATGGCCAGAACCCAGAGGCAATTTTATAGCACCTCATGTCATTTTCTGGGCATGGGGAAAGGGTC